CCGGCGGGAGGCGCACCTCAGGTAGTCGCGCCGGCATAGGATGAGGTTGGCCTTGGTGTAGAGGGTGGAGCCCACCTCCCCCAGGCGGCAGTCACAGCAGGCACACTTGAGGCAGTCCTCATGCCAGTACTTGTCCAGCGCCTTCAGCAGGTAGCGGTCCTTGATCTTGCGGTTGCAGCCCGCACAGCCCTTCTGCTTGCCTTTGGGCTGGACGGAGAGCATCGGCACGCCTGTGGGTGGACAGACGACAGACAGATGGACGCGGGAGGGACTCTGTGGCTCCGGGCCTCAGGGCCCATCCCTCGAGGAATGGGAGCCCACTGCTGCTCCCTGTTGCCCCCTCCAGGGTGGGGGTTCCCAGAGTCCTCACTTGCTCCCCAGCAAGCTCCCCACCTGGCCCCAGGTCCTGGCCTTTGAGCTGCAGGGCACAGGCTGTTCCCCTGGCCTGCGAAGGTCCTTCCAGAAGCTGTAGGCAGACTGCGGAGCCCTGCATCTCGAATCTCGCATCTGCTTGGCTGCACAGCACGCATGTAGCCCCAAGGCCCACAGTCCCCCCTGAGCTGTTTCTCCCCACCCACCACTGCCTTCTGTGGGGCCTGCTCGACAGGAGGCCTGAAACTCTCCACAGGCTGCCACCATCTGACTGGCTCTCCCAGTGGCCCCAAGAACCGAATCTCACAACGGGCTTGGGTCCACTAGAACTCCCCGATCTTTTTCTACCTCAAGACTTCCTGACATAGTTTGTGCCATGGACCATTTTACCCTCAAAAGTCAGGCTACAGCCTCTTGGTTTACTCATGTAGAACTGTGGCGGGATCAGGAAGCAAGTGGGGCGCGGGAGCTCTGGGTCTCCTGGCGGGAGTGTGCAGGAAGGCAGCGGAGCCTGGCCTGGCCTCCCGGGGACTCTCCCCAGGAATGCTTCTAGCTTGATTCAAACTTCCTACCTGCCCTGGCCTGAGGGTGGGGAGGTTCTGAGTCTCTGAATCCTTGCTCCTCCCACCAGGACACGGGTCTCTGAGCCCTGGGCCCCCTCCCAGGGCGCATGCATGCTTCTTGACATATAAGAAAAAATACAAAGGGTAAGAATTTCAGCATGGAGTTTACTGGAAGGAGAAGCTGACCTCCCAGCAGGCAAGTGTGTGCACTCATGCACACCCCATGCACACAGGCAGAGCGTGCAGTCACGTGCGGGCATGTGCACAGAGGCTCAGGCTCCTAGCCCCTGCCCTTGGGGCCACAAGGAGTGATCGCAGGGAGCAACAGTTGTGGAGGAGGTGGGAACAGAGGTCATCCTGAGTCTGCACATCCGATGTGGAGCCCTGAGGCTTGAATGTGGTGAAGACTGCTTGGAGGGAAATGCAGGGAGCCTCAGAGTCCAGACCCAGGATGGGGGCAGGTGGGGGTACCTGTAGGAGTTGCCTGAGAACCGCTCGTGAAGGCAGTGCGGGTGGGGTGTGCGCCTTCCCTGACCAAGGCTCGGGAGCATGGAGGAGTCCTCTCTGGAGGGAACAGCCCACCTCTTCCTGCCTCCCTGGCTCTCCACCAAGCCCGTGAAGTCTGCCCTCCTCCTGGCCCCCTCCTCTCCAAGGGACCCCAGCACTCTCTAGGGCTCTGGGTTCAGCTCCCACTCCCTGGTACCCCCCCATCCCTGCCTCTGCTCACTGCCCTCCGCCAAGAGTTTGAGCTGCTTCCTTCCCTTTCCCTCCTCCTGGTGTCTGACCCTTCCTCAGATGTCAGAAGAGAGTCAGCCTCCAAAGGGCCTCAGTCTTAGAATCCACAGATATCAGGTCAGAAGGGCCCTGAGAGCTCTTCCGGGCAAATGCGCCAAGGAAGGATGGGGAAACTGAGGCACAGAAGTTCTGAAGGTCAGGTCTAGTGCAAGCCACTCATCATCCAGCTGGCTCAGGGGGCCCTCCCCGCTCCTGTGCCTTGCTGCCTCTTCAGACCTCTCTTGGGGAAGGGGCCCTCTAGGGCCCAGGAGCAGGACAGGTGACAGCAGAGGGGAGGCAGCACTGGCCAGCAGGGGACTCTCTCCTACCTCCTTGCTCCAGACCCCGCTGGGGTCTGTTAGCTGGGACGCTTGCCGCCGAATTTCCTTAATGCAGCTCTAAAGGTTAATTGATCTGAGAGAGTGAGGGTGCTGAGGATGACTATGTCCTCAGGCCTGCCTTGTCTCCTCCGGCAGGGCCCAGTCTGGTCACAGAGTTGAGGAGGCCATGGAAGCCAGCTGGGGAGCGGGCATCCCTGAGACCTAAGGGGGCTCTGAAGGGTTCCTTCCAAGGCCAGGCGTACAGGGAGGAACTGGCTGTGAGCAAACAGGGGAAGGGTCAGGAGAGCTGGATGTGGGGAGGTCTGTGGGTCCCGGGCGGGGGGGGAACTACTGTCCCTGGGTCCCGTGGAGGGAGCACCCAGCCTGCATAGCTATAAGCACACGCACCAACTTGGAAAATCTCAGGCCTGGCCTCTAGGAGAGCCCCGCCAAGGCTGGTTTTCCCCTTGGTACCTGAACAGGCAGCAGGCCCGACTCCCCCCCCCCCCCCCCCCCAGGGCTCTAGCCTTGTGCTATCAGTAGCAGGAGGTGTGTGAGTAACTAGAATGTCCACACGCAGGGGATACACCGGATCCACTAAGTTATACACCGAAATGAGGAGGGACCCCAGCACCAGAAGTGTCTGTCCCGCTCCGTCTTCCGTCTGGCATGGCTCCTGGCCAGGCTGGCCTTCTGAGCTCAGGCCCCAGCACGCCCGGATGCAGAGCCCGCAGAGTTGTGGTCTGTAGCCCTAGCTGGCCCGGCCTGGAACCTACAGGACCCAGGGAGGCCGTGAGGAGCGAAGCCACAAGCTAGCCCAGGTCCCCTGCGTCCTGCCTGTGCCTGGGCTGGCTCTGGCACACCGCCGGGCTCCGCAAGGCCTGGGAACTCTGCTTCCTGGGCCCTGGAGAACTCTTAAGAAGCCACAAGGCTTCTGCCAAACAGTGTCTGATGTCCACCGAGGCACAGACCTCCAGTGCTAGCCTGGCTAAGGAGCTCCCGGAGCATACGGGGACCTTGGGCTCTCTCTGCCTGGAAAGGCTGAGGTCCTGGGAGAAGTCTGACTCACCCCTTGCTCTTTACTGGGCACCCACACTGTGTTTGCTCTCTCACCGGGCTGGTTCAGGAGACCTGAAAACACTCCTGGAAAGGCAAGGAGGTTTAAAGGGGGCATCTCTGGTCTCCTGTTTCCCAAATGGGAGTGAGATGTTCCCCAGAGGGTCAGGGCTCGCCCTCCCTGCCCTGCCTCCCCAGCCCCCACCCAGCCCGCCAGTCAGCCCTGCAGACACCTCTTCCCTCCCTCCCTCCCCTGCCTGGCTCTGGGAGCTGAGCCTTGGGCCATGCACTTTCCATTAAGGAGATAGCATCCCTTTGCTGAAGTCCATTTGGGATCCATTTTAGTGTTATCTAAAAATCAAATCTACATGGTAATCCTTTTAATGTACTCCTGACTTTAGGAAAAAAACAGCTTTGCACTCCTTCAGGAAAGGTTTTAAAGCATTACCCAGTAATTACTACTCACCCATGAAAACACTGATATTTTACAATGGATGATGTTTGAGCCTGCCCGCACGCGCAAGCACACGCTCAGAAACACACAGGACCCGGCAAAATAACCGGTTCACATAGCCCGTGTGTTCGCCCTCGATCTCAGGGTATGTGGGGGGGGGGATGCCATTTGAGGGGAGATAGGCCAAACCCCTAGCCTGCCTCTATGTCAGGCAAGCTGATAGGAGCAGGAAGCAGCCTCCCAGTCTGACTCATCTGGCTGCCAGACACTCAAACCCTCAGCTCTTTAATCTGGGGAAGAGCCAGACAGTCCCAGCGACCAGGAGGGACTGCCAGAGGTCATTCGGCTCTTCTGCACCCACCCTCCAGCCAGGAGAGAAGCCCTCCTCTTCACTTGGACCCCCCCACCAAGGGGTCTGCCCGGCCAGACTCATGTCCTCAGCAATCTCTGCCCAGCTACCCCAGACCACACTGCCCCCCATATCGGTCGTGCCAAGCCCCCCCTGGCTCCCAGTCCCCCTGATGCCTCCCTCCAGCTTGGACAGCAGGCTGAGCCCGGCTGGGGAGCACTCCTGCTGCCTCCCACAAGCTCCTCCAAAGCCAGTCCTCCACCCGAGAATGCCCACCCCACCCAGCCCCGGGTCACTCCCAGCTATGCCCTGCGCCACGTGGCCACCACTGGTTGCTCCAGCTGGTATCCGAGGTCCGGGGCCCCCTCCCACGTGCCATTTTGTCCTGCTTGGCACTGCGGGATCTGGTCCCTGCAGAATCCTGGGATAATAGCCCTCTCCATCCTGCAAATGGACCGGTCAGCTTCTGTCCCGGCGCCTGACCTCCACCACGGCCCCAGGAAGAAATGCCTTGCCCCACCCATCCCACTCTCCACCCAAACTCAGGGTCAGCAGTGGGGGTGAGGCGCAGCGCCCGGAGCTGAACTCCGAGAGCCTGCTTTCCAGCCTGAGCGCTGTCCCAAGGAGCTGGAGGGCCTGGCGCAAATCCCTCATCTTTCTGACTTGCTTCTGTGAAATGGGAGCCAACAAAGTCTCTTTTCACACAGATGGTGGCGAGGGCAGAACAAGGTCATGCTTATGAAGCCACAGCCGAGTCTGGCTTCCAGGGGGGACTGACACGGGGACTGGGGACTATTATTAATATGCATCCCAGGATGCCCTCCCCCTGTTCTGACCCTTGTTTCCTTTTTCCTGTAACTTTTTATCTTGACACAATTTCAAACCTTCAGAGAAGTTGCGAAATAGAAAGAATTCCTGCACACCTTTTGCCTAGATTTCCTAAATAGAAACATTTTACCATATTTGCTTTATCCTTCTCTATACATCTACCTATAATTTTGTTCCTGACTCATTTGCGAGTTGGGTTCAGACAGGAAGGCTTACACTCCTAAATACTTTGATGTGTATTTCCTAAAAGCAAGGACATTCTCTCACTTAGCCACAGTACAATTAACAACACCAGGAAATTATCATTGATCTAACACTATTACCTACAGACTTCATTCAGATCTGACCGATTCCCCCAATAATACCCTTTATGGCAAAATAACATATCATGCACTGCATTCACTTGTCAAGTTTAGTCTACTTAAATCTAGAAGAATTCCTAAGCCTCTCTTTGTGTTTCAAGACACTAGCATTTTTGAAGGATACAGGCCAGTTATGGAGTACCCTTCAATTTGGGTTTGTGACACATTTGATGGTGTGACTTTAATTCCTCTGTGCTTCAGTTTTCTTTATTGTAAAATGAGTATGAAAACAGTCCACATCTCATAGAGTTGCCATGAGGAATAAGGGAGTAAATCTATGTGACGTGCTCAGGACTGACTGGACCCGGCAGTCAACAGTTACCTCTGATTAGTGTCACCCCATCTGGCACAGGGGAAGGGATGACCTTAGTCACAGCCCCATCTCAGGTCCCTCAAATAGTGACGATCACGAACTTTGAGGCAAATACACAGATTTTGAATGTGCTACCCTGGTTAAAGTCACACAGGCACCGGCTCGAGTCCAGCGTGACCCAAAGGGCGGTCCCGTGGTCAAGGCGGACGTGCATAGAAGGAAGCAGCCCCGCCTGGCTGACCGGCAAGCAGGTGGGAAGAGATCACTGTGGCAGCTCAGGGCAGGCTCCTTGGGGGGCTGCAGGAGGGTGTCACCTTGGCATTTCTCATCATCTCTGTATCTCAGTAGTGCTCCTAAGCCTGTCTCGACACACCACAGCACAGCCACCCAGGGCAGAAGCTGGGCTCCCCCAGGGCTAAGGGCAACTTGCCGGGAGATAAGGCTGACTGCGCTAGGAGGGCTCAGCTTCTTAGTGCTTGGCTCACAGTGGCCTTGTGAGATAGATAGATTATTATTATTCCCATTTTACCAACGGGAAAACTGAGACCTAAGGAAGGTTCCAACCTGTCAGGGGTCACAGCGTTAGTACGGGACAGAGCTGGGATTTGAATCCTGGCCATCTGTTTCCAGGGCCCAAGCACTGGCTTGATCGGCTATGCAGTCAGGCTGTGTGCCGGGAACCTCCTGTGCTCACGGACCCAGGAGGGAGGCGTTAAAACAGAGAGCAACACAGACGCAGGACTTGTCTGCAAGTGTGCACAGCAGCGCACGGATACTTGTGTGGGGACATGTAATCACACGCACGTAGGGCTGGGTCCACGAGAGGGCGGACTGTGTTGTTTATTCCACAACCCAGCACAGTGCTCAGACACATCCATGCATCCGAGCGCACGCGTGATGGGCGTGCTCATTACACACATCTATGCACAAGCAGTCACATGCACCTTTACTGCCTTTCAAAAAAACAACATTTCCAGAAAGTAGATCATAGCTCAAAATCGAGCTCTGATTTGAGCAAAACCCACGAGTAAGAGGCCTGGTGCCCCTGTTCTCAACACCACCTTCCCAAGGAAATGAAAGAGCGAGAGCCCCTGGGTTTTACTCGAGATGACCCATGGGAGCTCTGGTGCTTCTCCAGAAAGGCAGCCCCACACATTTCATCCCCTCTCCAGCCGCTGGGGGTGGGGTGGGGTCTGTGGTCTTTGGGAATCTGGGTCGCGGCCAACCTGCAAGGTGTTTGTGCCCACGTGGGCCCGCGCCTGGGGCTAGCAGAGTAGGGTCCCAAACAGAGCCAGCCAGCAGCCCCTCCATGGCATCAATCCTGTTTAATAAGGAAATTTGAAAGTGTAATCTAATTCTGCAGAATCTCTTTAAATCTCGTTTTCTCAGAAGTAACTTCATTTCGCACGGACACATCCAGCCTTGTGAGAAGGCCTCCATTTCACACCAGTTTTATCTCCACAATTTCTCGTCTCACTGCACTCCTATCCCAGGGCCTTGCCATGCGGCAGGCGAGGCCTGAACTAATAGCATTTCCTACTCATTTGGAATCAAAAGCCAACGAGAACAACTGTTGAAACGCGAGGCTACAGCCCCCTAGAGCACGTTCATTACCACCCCTCGGCGCACCCCTTCGCAGGTGGTGTGCTCATTCCGTGAGATGAGGGAGAAGAGTCAGGCTCCCATGGCCTCCAACTCCCCACTGGGCCAGGGGAGGGATGCTGGGGGTGGCGGCCAGCTCACTGGAGGACTGGCCCCTTTGGCTCTGGCACTGCCCCTCAAGGGGGTCTGGGAGAAGAGGCAGGCGGTGTAGACACAAAGACTGTGGGCCCTGCAGACAGACGGCCTTGGCTTGAACTTTGGCTCCATCCCTTCCCAGCTCTGCCTCAATTTCCCTACCTGCTAAATGAGGACAGCCCAC